ACTGACCTCATTACTTAAATTAGAGCCTCCCGACCATGTCTCTCTGGCAGCGCTGGATTTCATATCTTCTCTGGGCAGAGTTTTTATACCTCAGGCTATCCAGGTAATACACTCTTTGTATTTAACAAAAATACAAAATCTAAAAGCGATCTCTATTAACTAGGGAAATTTTAAGCTTTTGATTTTTGTTTGGTTGTTTTTGAGACAGAGTCTCACACTCTAGCCTAGCCTGGCATAGACCTGAGGCAGGTTCCTTGCTTCAGCCTCCTTAAGTGCTGGAACTGTGGTGTGAACCACACTGAGTATAGGTTTTTGATTTCTAAAATCTTGTGCATTTACTAACAAAGTTGTGGAAAAGAAATACTTGCTGATAAGGAAGGGTCGTTGTCAAAATAGAGTACATTTTAAGTCATTTTCTTTAAAAAAAAAAATATGAGTTGGCATTTAAATAATTTATTAAGTTGCCTACTGTGTTCTGAGATAGTCTGTTGTGTCCCAGTATCTGAAGGAAGAAAGCATTCATGTCTTATAGGCAATAGTGTCCAGTGAGGAAATTGGTAATTAGTTATTATGCAGGTAGATTCATGAAACAGCATTGATTTTTTAGAGACAGTATTTTAACAATATTGTAAAATATGTGTAGCTGACAAGTGCGTATTTTGCTTCCAGAATTATATTCTGGTGGCCTGGGGAAAGACTACTACCAAATTTTAAGACCTTCTGACAAAATTAGATTCTCTTAAACTAGGAGCTTTGTCTTACTATTGTAATAAAATCCCAGTGTTTCTAGATTCTTGGCTTTGTTTTACCTTCAAAGAGATTATAAAATGCTCTCTGGTGAGAACCTTTTCAAGGTGCAAGATGGACTGTATTTCAGTACATATTGATAAAAATCCTTGAAACAAAGTTGAATTCCACAAATTTTCTTTTACTTCTTCACAAGAAAATGACACAAATTCATCTGTTTCCATCATGTAAACTTGTGTTTCATGAGATAAATATAGATGGTAGCAGCTTTTCTCTTTTTTGACAGAAATACCAACTTACATTTGAGCTGTCATCCTTTTTTTGGAAATGGCCTCAATATGTAGGCCAGGGTAGTTTCAAATTTGCAATCCTGTTTTAGCCTCCAGAATGCTGAGATTACAGACATGTACTCTTTATTATAAAATAAGTTTATTCTAGAGTGCTGTTTTGGTCCTGCAGGTCTAGGTGCTGCTTGGCTGCAGAACCCATACATCAAATGCTTTGTTGTCAGCATAGCAGTACTTTATAGACCTGGCCGGGTAAGGGCAGGTCCTGAAGAGATGGGAGATTCATGAACATATGCAGCACTCATAGCTGTAAGACAGGTTCAAATAAGTACGTGCTGGGGGTATAATAACTTAACCGCAGTCTCAGTTCGCTGAAGCAGTTAACAAAGTCGTGATATATGTAGTGTAGTAAGTGGTGGTGAGTGCTATGGGAGAAAGTAAAGCAGAAAGGTGGGGGGGGGCACAATATGAGGGGTAGTTCTGAATGGGGACAAGAAAAGTACGCCCTTACTAGGGTGACAGGTAAGTATAAATCTGAAAGGGAAGGAGAAAGCTATGTTGTTTCTCTGGAAGACTTCTGAGCAGGGTATAGAGAACAAGTGCAAAGCCTCATAGACAGGAACATGTCTGATTACTCAGGGCGTCTAGTATAGCATTGGGTGGTGATGCTTTGCTGATCTTGTAAACATCTGGTTTTATGCTGGAGGAAATTGGAAGTTATTAGAAGGATTTGAGCAAGGAATAGAGAACGTAATGTGTCCCAGAAGTTGACAGTAGCCTGTATTGAAGATGTTTTTTCTCCAACAAGGTTTGTTTCTTTTTGTAGGACAAAGTGCTGCCCAACCTGTCTTGTATTTTTGCTTTACTGCTAGCCAACAAGAATTGGCTGCTAGAGCAACATACGTTGGAGGCATTTACTCAGTTTGCTGAGGTAAGCCCAGTTTATCATATTGATCTCTGTGCATTTTAATATTTCTAATATTCTAAAACATTTAAAAAATATTGAGCTAGTTATGTATCTCAGTTGTAAAATTTTCTGCTGAGGAGATATTAATCATATGTTTACAAAGCCTCATTATAAGGTCTAAAGAAATGAGGTGCCTTTTCCCAAGGTTCTCTGATTAGCAAGGATTAAGCATTTGGAGTCTGTAGCAGGATTCTTGAAAGTTCTTATTAATAAAATCAAACCCGAGGCCAGTTATTGGGGTCAATGCTGGTAGATCAGAGAGACAGAACAAGCCACAGCTATCTCACCTCGCCGGATCCTCAGCTGGTCTTGTCTCCTCAGACTCGAGGCCTCTTAGTCCTCATCCGGAATGGGTCTCAGCTGAATTACTGCTCAAAAGCCTGAATGCTTAACCAGCCAAAATCTTCTAGTTTCTGGTCCTCATGCCTTATATATCTTTCTGCCTTCTACCACCACTCCCTGGGATTAAAGGCTGGCTTTCTGGGATTAAAGGCGTGTGTCACCATGCTTGGCTTTTTCCAATGTGGCCTTGAACTCACAGAGATCCAGAGGGATTTCTATCTCTGGAATGCTAGGATTAAAGGTGTGAGTGCCACCATTTTCTAGCCTTTATATCTAGTGGCTGTCTGTTCTCTGACCCCAGATAAATTTATTAGAGTACACAATATTTTGGGGAACACAATACCACCTCAGGAGTCAACTGCCTGCCTAAGACACTGCCTTCAGCAGTACTGGGGGAACTTCTCCTTTGGAAGTGCTTCTGCTCTGACCCATTTCTGTACAGTCATGCCTTTGGTTCAAGAGTGACTCAAGTAATTAAACCTTGCAGCACCCTGTGTAGAGAAGCCACAATTACATAAGGCTCTGCAGAACTCTGAGAACCTTGGGTACTACTTTCTTTTAAAATGAGTTTTCAGTTAAGGTAGTTTAAAAACTCCTTGGCTCCACAGGTAGCTGAACTATAAGTGATCTGTCTTGTTTACTGATATTTTAATAGGGAACAAATCACGAGGAGATAGTGCCACAGTGTCTCAATTCTGAAGAAATCAAGAACAAAGTTGTAGCCTTTTTGGAGAAGGTATTTATTACTTATGTATCAAGTCCATGTTTTATTCTTTATCATATATTTTTGAATTGTCTACTTATATTATACTTATTACCTTATACTTATTATACTTATTACCTTAGCTTCAATATTTTCTTCTTAGTACTGGGGTTTGAACCAGGGCCTTGCATGTGCTAGACAAGTGCTTTACTCTGCTGAGCTACAACCCCAGCCTTAAACTATTTAGTGTTCTGCACAGTGCTAATACAAATAGGGTAAGTAAGCATACCTAATCCAGAGTACTCCAAAATCTGAAACTTTTTGAGCCACCAACATGAGGAAAAAAACAGAAAATACCTTGCAGTGAATCCTTATTTCATGCATAAAATTACCAGAAATATTATATAAAATTACCTCAGGGATGGTATATGATCATACTTGGTGCCTGTCCCCACAGTATCTGATTGTTTATGAAAGAAATCTGAAGCATTTTTGTATAAATTTAAAGGGAACCAACCACAATTTGTATGAATCAGTTAAGAGTGTATATCAGAGAAGTAAATGACTTTAAGTCACTGTACCCATAAGATATAATAGCATAAATAACATTGGCAACAAGATGAAAAAGTATGGATCTCTAACATTGCTGATTATAATTGAATACACATGATTACAAGTCCTAGCATTATGGTTTTTACCATGTTTTAGTATGATTTCAGAATTGTTTCTAATATACAGAGACAGACTTTATTTTTGTACATAGGATCTCACTGTGTAGCCCTGGCTGGCTTTGATCTCAGAGATCCTCCTGCCTCTGCCTCCTGAGTGCTAGAATTAAGGGTATGTAAAGTGGTGTTTCTACAGTTGAGTACAGTCAAAAGCTTTTAAGTATAGGGATCCAATATATACTCTGGTATTATGATGTAAGGGGGTAATTGATATACTAATAAGCATACCTGTCAAACCAGAGACTCAGAATACTAGGAAATGTAAATTATACTCAAGCACATATTTAACTGGGTTCTGTATTTTATAAATTACTTACTTGAGTTGTTACTAAACATTATAAATATGTATATGTGTTACAATTAGTACATGCGTAAAAGTAACTCTTTTACTAGCATCACAGCCTATATATTAAGTTGAATGTTAGCATACTTTAGTTGGAGAGACAACTCCCAATTCTTCTGTAGTGAAGAACCTTCTAAGGCACTCTAACAACACTCTGGTTCTTAACCTGTGGGTCAAAACCCTCCCAACACAGGGTTATGTATCATATATCCTGCATATCAGATATTTACATTGTGATTCATAACAGTAGCAAAATTATAGTTAATGAAGTAGCAATGAAATAATTTTATGGTTGGGGGGGGTCACCACAACATGAGGCACTGTATTAAAGTTGGCAGCATTAGGAAGGGTGGGAACATTGTTCTAAGGGGACTGTGTTCAGGTTATACTAAAAGTTAAGTCTACCTAACCTAGAATTTGCCTGGTCACAGGTTTAGCCAGAATGAACACTCAGCACTTATAGACATGTACATAAAGTAGTCAGTTTCTTCTTCTAAATCTCACTAGATACCAAGTGGTATGAGAATGCTAATGTGTCAGTGGTTTTTGATGATCTTTGACAGACAGGACTTGTAGATGAAACTGAAGCTGCCATAGTGGACCGTGTGAAACAGGAGAAAGGCACTTTCGGGGAACCCGCTGCTAAGGTGACTGTAGGAGAAGCAAATGGGTTGGCTCTACAGGTATGGGCTGCTTTTCAGTGTGGTTAGTGGTCAAACAATGCAACGTCTGCCTCATTACTGTTTGATTCTTGTCTTCATGCTGAATATCAAGGACAATCTAGACACATAAAATTCCCATTTGTATGGTAGTTGCACATCAAAAACAAAACCATACATTTTTCCTCAAGTGTTACCAACACAGGCAAGAACTACAAAAAAAATAGTTGTAAACATTATACCAAATATATTCTTTATTATTGGAAGTTACATATTGTACCAATGATGACATAAATGCATTTTCTGACTCACAGATATCAATCAGCACGTTTAGTTCATCTCTTGTCTCCTCATCAAGCCAGCCTCATAATTACCTTTCTCTATTATTACATGTATCTATTGAATGGTAGAAATTTGACACTACTACATAATTCAAAATTGTGTTTTTAACACAAGTATAATATAATTTGGAATTTCAGGCAATAGTAATTTGGTTTTTTGTTTGTTTGTTTGTTTTTTCTTTTAAGATGTAGCTGTAAGCCTGAAATATTTAAAGTTCAATATAAATCAGTTATGTTCATAAGCCCTGTGAATTTAAATTGTGACACTCCTTTGGAAAACTGATTATTAGATATGTCTGGGTCTCAGTCCCTCTTGCTCCTCCCTGTGCAAGATGTCTTGAGCCTTAGTTTTCCTCAGCTGGCCCCAAAAGCATGTTGAAAACTAGTTCTCATCATTTACAAACTTAATATTAGAAAATTCACATTTTATTTCTCTTAATGGTGTTTTTAAAGAATACTCATTGATAGTTGTTGGGCAAGACAGCATTTGTCACTGGGGACCTAGCATAGGAGAGTTCTCCTGGACTGCCACACACAATTAGGATTAGGTATTACGATGGGGAGGGCACCCTTTGTGATGCCAGGATTACAATTTCTCTTGAATTATTTCTAGAATGAGTATTATGGCATTACTGGTTTCATGCTTTCCTTATTTTCCAGCCTTGTACAAAAAGAGCCCGGCAGGAGTTGCCCTTCGAAGAAGAGTATAGGTTAGCATTTCAGGCAGCAGCAGGGGCTTTGGAGACAACGGAGATGTTACTCCAGCAGGCCCCCGCTCCAGACTGGCTGGTAGTGGAACTGGAGGCACTGCAAGAAAAGATTGAGAAGCTAAAATGCTGTGTACCTGAGGGTATATGAACGGACTCTCTTAGTCGACAGAACTGGGTTTGACTGAGTCTTCATCAGCTGCCTTGCCTGGCTGTTTTGTAAATGAAATTACGAATGTAAATTATGTTTGTACATTTTCATTGCACATATAAAACTTTTATAAATGTGAAAATAATCTTTATTTGACATAGAGAACAAGATGGGGGGTATTTCTCATTGAGAACTTTGGTACAGTGTAATACAGGTAAAACAGTAACTGCCCAGGTCCAAAGGAGGGACCTTCTTTTACTCAGATGATCAACTGTAAACAAATAAATAAGCTGCTTAAAGAACCTTAGCAGTTTGAAGTTATAATTTACAGCTAGAATCTTTTTTCAGTAAGTTATTATTTCACAATAGAGCTTTTTACTCTTTTACTTTTAAAGAAATGGCACAAAATTAAGCTCACCAGCTTGAATTTTTTATTTTCTTTACTTCCAGAACTGTCCTGGAAAAAGCACTTCTTAGCTACTTTGCATGGGAACTGGCCTCGGTCAAGTGCACACAGGCTCTTCTTCCTAGAATCCGGCACTGAGCTTTCTGCCACCTAGGGCTTAGTCAGCAACTGGAGGTTGGTCTCAGCTTGAGTTGGCACAGACTGCAAAAAGAGCTTCTGGTACGGGGAACACAAGCTGCTTTGGGGTTTACATCCATGCAGCTTGCTCTGAGGTATTACTTCTTTTCTTTAGAATTATTCCTGAAGTTTAAGCTCTTCCTCATAGTCACCAGTTGTTATCTTCCCAGCTCAGCTCTTCTCCTTCTTCCCAGCCTTTTGCCTCTCCCTGCAACAGAACACACCAGCTAGCTGAGGCAAATTATATACACCAAGTATTCAAAAATAACCCATTTGTTTATAATGTCAGAAGAGACTGCTTCACAATAAGATAAAACCAAAGTTAAAGCGAGATTGCGTTGGTTGTAATGTTACACCCCATATCCAGTGGAAAGTAACTGCAGTCCAGTAAAATCGGTCAGATTCTTTTCCCAAGTCAAGGAGTTACTCATGCGCAGGCCAGGCATGGCCAAGGACAGCCATACACAAGGCACAACACAAAAGATTTAAAATGAGATTTCTTTTAAAGATTTATTTTTATTTGATGTGTATGTATTTCTATGCACCACTTGTGTGCCTGGTGCCTGTAGAGGTCAGAGAGTGAACCTCCTGAAACAGGAGTGGCAGACAGTTATGAAGCATCATGAGGGTGCTGGGAATCAAACCTGGGTACTCTAGAAGAATAGCCAGTACTGTTAACCACAGAGTCATCTCTCCAACCCCAAGATTTTAGTTTGGTAATTTGATTTTTTGAATAGTTTTGAACTAGGAACTTTGTAGATGACAATACTGTGTCATGTCAATAGGTTGGACATGCCTGAGGGCTTAGTCCTGTTTGTTCTTTTTTTTTTTTTTTTTAGCACCATGAAAATAAACCATTTCTAGGAACTGGCATTGTTGATTCTAGGTTTAATTTGATCATTTTAACCAGCTGTGTATAATACCTTCATGAGAAAACTACTTGTTTATTGTTAACTAGGACATGCAAGGAAACCCTGACTAGCACATTTGGTACAAAGAATAAACTCACCTCAGTCATTTCTGTTGCAGCAAATTTTGAGGAAAACTGCATCACTGGTGAGATGTTATCCTTGTCGGGGACCATCACTTCTGTCCTCAGTTCAGGGAAAATAAGCAAAGTACCCGAAGGCTTAATTTCTGGGATCATATCTGCAAACCAGTCCAACTCAGGATCTTGTACTGGCTTCTTTTTGACTTGTATGGTAAACTCTTCTCCTAAACCAAGTTCTGACCGAACCTTAAGTGGTCGTTCTTGGGCTCCATCTAGTGGTTTGACTTCCCCACGCTGTATATGACTGGTCTTTGAGGAAGGACTAGATTTCAAAGGCTTAGACTCCTGAGTGAGAGGAAGCAAAGCTGCAGTAGGCTTCTGCTCCCCTGAGGTAACAGACATGGCAGCAGAGGTTCCAGCCACTGTGTTTACTTCAGTACCAAAGCTAGACTCACAGTCGTCCCAGGACTCCTCTGTGTTCAGATTCGTGTGCCGGGACTCTGCTACATCACAAGGTTCTTGGGGCCGTATCTGAATAGTGGCAGTTTGGTGCTCAGGCTCCTCAGGCTCACTCCAGTCAGGCCACTCCTCGGGCTTACTACTAGAACCTGCTGGGAAGTTTCCATTGTCCTCTGAAGTGTTTTTCACATCTGAGATTCCATTCATAGGGAGTTTAATAGAATGAGAAAACTGATCACCTATGGGCATATGCAAGAATTAGTCTCATAAAATGTTAAGAGCAAGCAAATAAATAGAGGTCTAATTATTTAGAAATATCCATGCACACTAGCAAAAGTTAGGCAAACAAAGATGCCATATAAAATCTCCAAATACATGTAACTTGAAACGTAGCATGTCACAAATAACTAATCGTTAGACCTTTGACTAAATATCCAAACACTCATTGGCATAAGTCTCTGTAAATAAGTACAGATGCAGTCTTACCCTTGAAGTTGTAATTACATTTAAAAATGTGTGCTCAAGTAAGTTTTAAAAAATTATTCACTGTGGGGGTCGGTCCCCCCCACACACACACACTCTGGGTGCATGAATGCCATAGTGCAGGTATGGAGGCAAAGGACAATCATGCATTTGGTTCTACTTCATGTGGGTTCCTGAAATTGAACTTGATTATTAGCTTTTCACAAGTGCTTTTACTTCCTGAGCCATCTTCCCAGCCCATTTTATTTTTTTCAAAGATTCATTGTTAAATATGTGTTTGTCTGTGTGGGGGTATACTCTGAGTGCAGTGCCCACAGAGGCCAGAAGCATTGGATGTCCTGGAGCTGGAGTTAGAGGCCAGTGTTGGGAACCAAACTTGTGTCTCTTGCAAGAGTAATTTGTCCTTTGAACTGCTGAGCCATCTTTCCGGCCCCCAAATAAGTCTGAAACAGATTTTCTCAAATGTCATCAAAGTGCTAAGAAATCTAGGCTTACTCTGCTAACACTTCCCCAAACTTATTTACACAACATTTTTCACTATATCTTCAGAACTCATTTTTGGTACATTATGATGCAGAAGACATAAAAATACCGAAGTATCTGATAAAAAATGAATTCAAGTAATGTTAACTCATGTGGAAAGGTTAGGTATATAACCAATAGTTTGGAGAGGTAAAAAGAGAAGCATACAGGAACTCCAAATTGCACTTGATTTTCAAAATTTAAGCTTAATATTCTCAGGAACAGATCGGAGCAACGGGAAACTCAGTTAAAATTCTTACCTGTTTGTAAAAGAGTACTGTAACACTCTTCCTGTATGTGCTTCTTGCTGTTGATGGGCATGTTGCCAGAAAACAGCCATTTAGGGAATGCGTTAGAAGAGGGGTTCTCCAAGACTTGTGAGATCTGACTCTGCTGGCTGCACACAACATGCATGGGAGAACCTGAAGAAAGGGAAGGAAGCCGATAAGCTTACTGATCTAGCACTTGATTGGTGAACAGCAGTCAAGGGAAATGGGTCTCTGTAGCACTGATAAAAGAACATCAAATATTTGACCAAAACCTATTATTAAATGGGTGGCCTGTCTCTGAAGGTTTAAGACAGGTTGTATTGAGAGCCACTGGTAGCAAAAGGCCGTGGGAGTATACAGCAGATGACAACTAATGTTCAGAAGGTCAACCTATCAGAACCAAGGGAAACCACCCAGGGCATTTTGGAGTTACTGCCTTTTGAATGAATTGGCTGTTTCTTGTTGTAAACTTCTTGTGCAATAATAGCTTCCCATTACCCATGCATTTCACAAAATGTATATGTGTAATCTCATAATTACATCTCTGTCATATGGGCACATATATCTGTGGATGATCAGGAAGATGGCTTTTCATTTAGCTGTCTAATTTTGATATATGGAAAATACACTAGGATATGCTTCATAGCCAGATCCATTGTCCCATGAAACTGTAGACCCTTAAAGCTTGCTTTGTTCCTTCTGCTCGGACTAACACAGAAAATAATAATTGCTCTGCAGTCTAACACAAACTGCATGCATTTAGCTCATTTTTACATCAGAGCAAGTTCAAACTATACTAAAGGCCTTTGTAAATACATCATAAGTTTAAAACTTTACAAGGTCAGAGTTGCAGGTGTCTCACCAAGGATACTAACAAAAACACCCTAAGAAAAGCCTGCCAATTCTTCACTTGCCAAGTCTGCTGATAAAAAGCTATGTCTCAGAGTTTGTTGCATTGGGCATTGCGCCCCCTCCTGAGACCTTGGAACCTTGCATTACCATGGTAATGGCTCTGCTCCTCATCTATTCTAGGAATGTGCTATGACCTTGAGGGTTTTGAAACTTCTCAGGATTGCAAGGAGTCTCCTGTTAGGGAAGGGAAGGATGAGAGGGGAAAAGACACTGTAGACTTAGACAACAAAGAGAGAACAGCAAAGAGATCAGAGAATTAACTTAGAACAATAAAGTGAATGGACTGAAAGAGCGTGGTGTATGCAGATTCATTTGATATCCTTCAGATTAGAATCCCCGCTGCTTTTAAGCATCTTCCCGACTCTAGGAGAAATCTCCTCAGGGCAGGTACCCAGGGGGCATTTGATAAGACTGGGTCCACTGAATTTGTGGTGATAGGACAGAACTATGAAGCATTACATAGATAAAATCTTTAGGAAACCTTGGTAAGTTACAGTCCTTAAAATCTAAGACCTAGATTCTAACTTCCTTTTAAGAATAAAAGACTAGTAAGAGTACAAGTCGAACAAACAATATTAATGACTTAATACCACAAAACTACATATTGAAAATAATTAAAATAACTTATGCTATGGATATTTGACCTTGAGTGAGGAAAGTAGCTGTCTTTAACAGTTTACCAGAAAGCTTATATTCAAGACTGGATATTGATCAGAAAGATTTAGTAAAATTACAGCTGAATATTTCCCCTACCTTAAAGCTAGGGTAAGGGGAGTCAACTGTCATTATAAGGCTTCAGCTCTCTATAGCACCTCTCTCTTCTTCACCCTCAGCCCTCAGGGCCTAGCACTACAAGCCAAAGAACTGCATGAGAGAGACCAGAATTTTGTAATGAAATCATGGTCATATTCAAGGTCATACAAAGTAGCAAAAAGGCAATGACATTGTTGATACAAAATTCTCGTTCTACCTCCCACATAGAGTACAGTGGGAACAAACCAAAATCAGAGATTTCCTGAAGTACGCAAAAACAGCTTTTACCCAAAGTCCAACAAAGTCAAAAGAACTTAAGTATTAAAAAGAACAACAGGGCTGGAGGGATGGCTCAGAAGTTAAGAGCACTGGCTGCTCTCCCAGAGGTCCTGAGTTCAATTCCTAGCAACCACATGGTGGCTCACAACCATCTGTAGTGAGATCTGGTGCCCTCTTCTGGCCTGCAGCGATACATGCAGGCAGAGCACTGTACATAATAAATAAATTTAAAAAGAACAACAGTCTTTAATAGTCCCGACTAAAATTCAAATATACCCTCTGACCCACATAGTCTCCTGAGACTATCTTATAGCAGTGGAACCCCACATAAGAAAGATGCATGTGTAAGGGTATTTATGGTACTACAGTTTATACACTGGTCAAAAATCTAGCAGTGGATACAACAGCTATGACTATAAATAATTGAATTGGATTCAGGGAAATATTAGGTGTAAAAGTGAGGTAGGTTTTTATGTATTGGCCTGGAAACACATCTTTAATATGCAATACATGAAAATAAGCTTTAGACTTGTGCACAGCATCATTAAATATAATCTTATAAAAAACACATATGTTAAGTATGTAAAAAAAAATCTGTGTCCCTTTGTGGGCTTACAAAAAAAGGATTCTTACTGAACCATTAAAGGTCACTTTGTACCCACTATGAGGAATTTGAAAAGGGAAACATAACTTTCCTCGTGTTTCTTGACCTCAACATAAAACCTGTATCATCATCATAAAAACCTAATAAAATAATGTTTAATCTTACCTTCAGGGGAAAGGTCACTAGTTTTGGTAAAACTTGGAGCAGTGCGCTTAAAGATCTTGGTTCTTTCTCCTCCCACAACCACTTCTGGTCCAAGCAGAGATACCAGCACCGCCAGGCTACGAAGAGTAATTGCCACAATGGAATTGCTGGTATCACGAAGGCCCAGTAATACCTAGGAGCAGAACTGGTGATGAGTATAGAGAACCACTATCTTTCTTTCCTGGAAAGGAGCAACTGGTCTGCAGCCATAATACTTCTTTAAATGAATGATATTTTCCAGAACATTTCTAAGTCAGCAGTTTTCCAACTAACTATGGGAAAGAAATAATACTTTGCCCTCCCAATATATCATGGCTTGCCACCCCTACCTCCCGACTTCTAAATAGCCAAATTATGAACCAGCCCCAGAGCAAAGGCTCCATGAAAATGGGTGTGGACTGCCTGAAACAGCTGCCCAACAACATACACTGAGTACTGCTTCTGGGAGTTTCAAGGCTTGTATGCAGGCCCTTGGAAGCAGCTGCACCTAGACTTCACACTTTAGGTCTCCAGAGCTCCTGATAAATTTTTGTTATTTTGATCCATGCCACTGTGATAATTTCTTTTGAGATGGTTTCTCTGTGTAACAGCCATAGCTGTCCTGGAACTTGGTCTGTACACTAGGCTAGCCTTGAACTCTGAGATCTGCATGCCACTGCCTCCTGAGTGCTGGGATTAAAGGTGTGCACTACCACACCCAGCTCTGATAATTTATGGCATAAAAAATGATTACAAACCTTGGTTGAGCAAATCCTAACATTTCCTATGGTGGGTAAACAGGTTGAAAATCACTGATAACAATCTCATGTTCTCTCCTTGGCGATTACCATAATGTAATTTTCATTCCACAAACGCTAGTGAAGGGCCATGGGTCTGCTTAGGCTTGTTTTTTGTCTTGTCATTCATCTATCTCCAAGATGAGTAAACAGGATCATAGTTGCTCACAGATTAAGACTAAACATCTATGTTAGTTAATTTGCCAAGAAGACTGGAGTGAAAATACAATTTCACCCCTTTATATTCTAGCAACTTTGAAACTCAGCTGCTGTCTCAAAGCTTTGTGAGCGTTATCTGAAAACCTTGTCCCTCCTTCATTCCCTGAAGTGGCAGTACTCTGTGCACTCTCATCCTCCCACTGCCAGCTTGGTCCTGACCTGTGGCAAGATGACTTTCTTCAGCTGTTCCTGGGTGAAGTGCTCCACGTAGGCTTCGATGTGGGACAGTAACACCATCCTCACATGCTCCTCATGGACCTCGAACAGCTGGAGAAGCACAGGGATCACCCGTGACTGGAACAGTGCTGGCGAGAGCAAGCAAGGAGTCTCTCCTGCATTCTCTACCCCAAATCAGAGGGCACAGACAACAGTCATTCAGTGAAAAGGGTGAAGAACATAATTTGTCAGCTGAGTCCAGATTTTTACACACATCTTATGGATTTGTCTACAATTGTAAGCCCCGAGCTAAAGAAATGTGGATTCAAAATGACTTGAAGGCTTTACTGTCTCAAGTGCTCTCTGCATCCTGTCTGTCCCTGGTTAGTGGGTCAAGTATGATCTTTAAAGAGCACTGAGGTGATTCATGGGTTCTCCCTCAAATCCACAGTGAGGATGGAAAACTATAAGGGAAACTTCAAAACTAAAGTAAATATATTCAATCCAGAGATAAAGTGCAAGTCTAAACTGAAATAACTACCCATAGTATCCGTTAGAATGGCACCATTTAAGAAAATGAACTCTGGGGGCGGGTAGAAGAGATGGCTCTTTGGTTAAGAACAATGGCGATTGCAGAGGACCCAGGTTCAGGTCCCAGGACTCATGGTGGCTTATCAACCATTCCTAACTGCAGTTTCAGGGGATCCAGTGCCCTCTTGTGTCTTCCATGGGGACCAGGCATGCATGTAAGGCACATGCATACATGTATGTAAAACACTCATACACATAAAACTAAATTTAAAAAAATTAATTAAGAAAATGAATTCTTGGGGCTGGAGAGATGGCTCAGCGGTTAAGAGCACTGGCTGTTGTTCTGCCAGAGGTCCTGAGTTCAATTCCCAGCAACCACATGGTGGCTCACAACCATCTGTAATGAGATCTGGTGCCCTCTTCTGGCCTGTAAGCATGCATGTAGGCAGAACACTGTAGACATAATAAATAAATAAATAAATCTTTAAAAAAGAAAATGAATTCTTAAAGCAGGACCCAGCCTAACTCTAAATTCTTTAGTATATTAAAAATACATTCTCTAATCTGATGTGTTACCATCTAAAGACTATCATCTTATAAATCTTATAATGTTTCAAAAACCCACAGTTCCAAGAAATAAAGTGACCTTGGAGATTTTTAACCTTTTTACTAAAAATACAACATGGGTTGCTTTCAGTAACTTAGGAAGCACAGGCCTAAGGATCACTGAAAAGATAACCTGAAAACCTATGCCTTAACCCATTAAAAGTTCATATATGCACCACACTGCATTTGTGTGTGTGTGTGTGTGTGTGTGTGTGTGTGCAGTAAATATGACTCCAGGAAGATGTAAAATGTTCCATATTTACCCATGGGCTTTAGTACCTGAGTTGGAATTCAAGCTGTCATATTAGGGAGGAGTAGCTGTTCTGTGCCAACATTAACTTTAGAATACTGCAATGTTACCCCACTCAAAAAATGGACTAATAATTGCCAAACTCCTTAATAACAAATAACACTAGAAAAAATTCACCTTTTTTAGGGCCAAGGAGATAGGGAAGGAAACTCTTAACCGCCACTGGCTCAGCAAACACCAACTGGTTAAGCAAGAGAGGCACCAATCTTGAAGCTATTAATTCTTCTGACAAGCAGCTCACTCTGTCCAGCAGAAATCTGAGGACAGACGAAGAAGAGATGCTGTTGGCCTCCAATCTGGTGACGTGTCCTCTGTTCTCTGCTAGATGTGCTAATCACCTGACTTGATGGTGTTCTGCTAGCCATCTGCTGCTTCTGTCTAACTGCTACCAGCGGTTTGCTCTTTGACTTTTGCCTGTTACATGCTTAGTGTTAATACATGGCCTTCCGTGGCCACTGCTCTACCATCCTCCTCCTCCTCTCCCACCCACTTGCTCAGTCTCCAGCTTTCCTGCAATTGTAAGTGCTCCCTCCACTCCCTACAGGTTCTTTCCTCAGCCTATAAACCTCCCAGCTTTATCTTTTATATCTTTCTTATCTCGGTGTCTCCTTCACTGGTCTATCAATGCTCTTACATCACCTTCTTACCTGTTGACGAACCACTATATACTAACCAACACAAGCCTCATGTGACCTAAGTCTGCCTCCAAACAGAATGATCAGTAAAGAGAGCTCTAGCTATCCCATGGTTAGGTTACCTTCACTCCCTCCGTGGCTTCAAGGCAAGAAGTCCACTACCTACAATACTCTGCCTTGCTATTTGAGGGCCACCTCTTACCTGTCCTTGTTTTGGAGTCTGCCCTCCAGCAAGATTCCAGTGCTTGCCACTTGCTACACCAATCACAGCGGGTCTTACCTTTGTGTGTTCACTCCTGCTGTTTCTCTAACGACCTCCCTCCCAGCAAAGCAAGATTCCCACCCATCTTTACATTTCAGTTACCAGTCTAGCTATGGCTGCATTACCAGTTCAGTCCATCCCAGGCACAGTGGAAAATATGACATGTAGGAAAGTTTAATAACCACTGTGAAGTCAGAAGTCTGTCATCCCTGGATCACTGACATGCTCACATAGGTTTAATTCAAGTTAGTGAAGTTTTTTTTCTGAACTTACTTGAAAAATTCAGTTTTTTCATCTTCACTCTTTAATGTCAAGCTTCTCAAGAAATTCACAACTTCTAGAAAATCATTTCTAAATGCAATGCAATAAAATAAAATGGCAGGACAATAGATTAAAGGCATGTTAAGTACTGAAGCCATTATCTCAGACCATAGCACCATTTTCAATGAAGAAATGTTCTCTGTGTCATACGCCACACTCAAAGTAGCTTATGAGATAAATACAATGGGACAAACCTATAAGAGCCTAATATCTTAATAATTCCGAAAACACCTGCCAGAGGATATAAATGGAAATGCACATGCTAGTGTACTTTAGGCTTCAATAGTGACCATACTTTTCCAAATTTTTCACTTAACAGGACACTGGTAAATGGATTATCCTGGAAGAAACAGGGTAGCCATTTCAAAGAAGCTGCTGATTCCCAAGTCTCTCCCTTGGTGAAGTGAAAACACCTAGGAAATGGAATTTCTGTAGGAGTCATAGGTATTTTCTTATTTTTCTGAGTTTTGCACTCAGGCAAGGTCAGTTTCTGAGGAGTCCACAGACAGTCCCAAACCTGTAAACTGTTCTGTTCCAAGAGAGCATGGCTCACATCCTACCATGTGGAAGGTACTGCATGGCAGTTAAGCACACAAGCTTGGCAGCCTTCATGGCATGCACAGGTACCACTCTATTCCTATGTTAATACCTCCATGTGACCCTTGGACAACTCATTAGGGCACTGACTTCCATGACATCCTCTGTATAAAAATCCACGTGACTATTAACTGCGCCAAAATTTAATTTCCATTAGCCTTGTGTTGACCAATAGCTTTAATGAAAACTATCTGTTAACACAAACTTTTCCATGGTGCATGAAGTAAAACACAGTGGAAAATACACAAGAAACTCAAAAAAACCACTTTGTACTACATAAGCTATTTTTCTGCTTTTTTAGAATGTTTTGTATCACATGCTGTTTCAGGATGGTACCCAATGCTATAGCATACCAGCAAGATGTGCTCCAATGAGTTTTTCTGCAATTATGGTATAATACTACATCTTTACATCTGTTTACATTCACTGCATGAATGATAGCATATATGGTCTATAAATGTATGAGTATGTGTTCATAAACTTTAACTTCTTATAAGGGACTTGTGTACTTGTCATGGACCCAAATGATAAATAGAGTATCTACATTTATATGTTCATCACACGTGTTTCTTCCTTTGATATTTCTAGGCTATGAAATTTGTCTGTTTCAGTTTTCTAAACCTTAAAGATCCATGTCAAATCTGAGTGGATCTGTGCCCTCCAACCCCATGTCATTCAGGAGTCAGCAGTCTCTTTCCACTCCTCTGCTACAGAGCACAGGGACAAGTGTCTTGCATCGAATGGAACTGCCTCAGCTGCCTCAGTGATGGATGCTGGCCTGCTTCATCCTGTTGCCACTGGCACATTTACTCCTCATGCCACAGTGTGATGTGTGAGTGTGGGTTGGAGTACTCTTTGATTTTTTTTCTTCCCTCTATACTATTTCACATTTCTTAAAGAACTTGTATTACACACAGCGGTAACAATTTACTACAATGAATTATCTTTGTAGAGATTTTTATATCATGAGAAATATAGTATTTCTAAGCATCATCTACAAACACAAGAAAATACATGTTTATAATAATAATTGTAAGATTTGTAAATGTAAATGTATACAATTATATTTTCAATTTAAGAAATAAATGGAGGGTGAACTGCTACACTGGAAAAGTTCAAAATATTTTCTCAGAAACATAAATGGCAACTCTACTCCTGAGAACTATAGGCAGGCACAAATTCAATGTCAACCCCAACATGGGCCTCTCCAGAGGTGGCTTGTCGTGTGGAGCACAACCATCCTTTGCTGGGCTTCCCTCCAAGCTCTCGAAGTACAAACACAGAAAGATAGTTTGTCTACGAAACATCAGGTGAGCTCTGCTAATGAAGTTCACAAACATGGAACTACCGTGGGCACAAGGTGTGTGGTCACAGAAATGAAGGACATAGAATTAAAATTAACCTTGAAGGTTTAATACCATCTGTGAACCCAGGGAAGTATTTCCACTGTGCCCTGCCTTCCTTCTAACTGACCTCTCCATGTTCTGGAACAGAGGAAAGTCTACTGCCAGAAGTAACACAAATGTGCCCCTTCCCAACACACACCACTAATGCAGTGACAGCACACGGGGAGGCCATGTTTATCTACAACTGGAAACTACTTCACACAGATTCATTTCTTTAGAATCAAAATCCCTATGAATCTGGATGTAATTCCTTCATGACAACTAAGAATTCCTAAAACTTTCTGTGATAGGAACCTGAGAGGCAACCAATTTTTCTCTCTCCAGCACGTCACATGATGCCCTCACCTGAAGAAATCATGGGACAGTAAGGTACTGAGCGCTGGCCGACACTTTGGCATGGGATTCAGCAGAGCTGAGTGCAAGGTCTGTAGGAAGCTGGAGAGAACATCCGCTGAAACTGAAATCCAGAGCTACAGTTAGTTCCAGTGCCTTCTCCCTCTTTCCGGGCCTCTCTAGCTGGAGTCTGATGAGAGCAAAAACCAACCTGTAAAAGCCCAAGCACACAAAGCCCCGGCTGTTGCTACATGACTTCTGTCGTGTAGGCCAGACTCCTGGGCAGGTATACAGCAGCACTGTCCTGCCGGCAGGGTCAACACTGCCTCAGGTGCCTCCCTTCTACTGCCTCCCGTTTCCTGAATCCACCTCTGATCCAAAGAGATGTTTCAAAAGGGTTTGGAGGTCTTTCCTGGGTAGGTCCTTCTCAACAGAGCCGACCGAATGCCTATATTTTCAATTCTTCTACACACCTGCCACCATTATAGGCGCATGGGAGAGTAGTTAGTTCAAAACAGACCAACAATGCCGTAGAACCTTCGGCTTTAATTCTCTAACATTTGGGATCCTGGTAGAAGCTACACTGGCACTGCTGAAGTGTCAGCAGAGTAAGACAGGCCACTGAAGGATCTAATGTGGCACACACCTCAGTAACCTTCACGGGTGCAGAACTAATGTCCCAGAGTCCATCCCAGAAGAGTGACACAGGCTGCCAAGCATGCAATTAGAGAACACAGAAGGGAGCAGAGAGCTGTCTTTACATAGCCTGGGCTTTAAGAGGGTATGCAAGAAAAATACTAAGTAAATAAATTATAGTAGGAAAAAAAGTAATGACGTTGGAAGAATAAAGAAAGTTTAAGCCTAGTTTTGGAATGAATTTAACAGCAACACTGGAGTCTTACTCTACTATTCAGGCTATTACATCTCAGTTACTAAGGGCATTTATTTCCACAAGCTAACTCAATAATGAACTCAGAAGAGAATCACACATGACGGGGACAGCCACTGTTCAAAGTGCTTCCTACTTCAAATTCCTTTTTATTAACCCCAAGCTTTCCCTCTTCCTGCTGCTCCTATTTGTCCTATGTAAACTGTGCTAAGCAGCAGGTTCCCCACCATACTAAAGGTAGTCCTTGGATTTCCACAGAGCGGGTGGGGATGCCTTTCCTACTTAATCTGTGCATGCGGCAGTACAGCTCCAACTCACCCTGCTCATTCAAGATGGGGAGCAAGCTGTCCACCAAAGTTCCGAAGGAATAGGCATCCCGGGCATGTCCATGGGACTCTGGAAGGGCTTCAAATTCTGGAGACTAAATGCAGTAAGACTATTAGAATGAGAGGATCTACTTTCTAAGCTGTCTCCAATGCTCTCCCATGTTTGCATTTATTATACTCAAATCTAACTTCATGGTACCATACTCCACAGGCTTTAAGTATGTGACAAATTGTCAAATACTTAAATTAAGTATGTGACAAATTGGTACAACTGTATGTCAATTAAAAAGGTAGATCTCTCTCAAAAATGGAAAAATTCTGAACTATTATGAAATAATAGGTCTCTCTCAAATATGGAAAAACTTTGAAATATTAGTTGATGGAACTTATCAAAGATTTAAAAATATCATATATGAACAAAAAGAAAATGCTTATCTCTGGCTTTCTGAAATGTGTCTGACTATAACCCAGAGTAAAAAATACTAAATATAATCCAATAGGTATACACATACAATGAAAACAAAAGTTCATAAAACAGTCTTGTTTTCTTATAATCTGGCATGCCCAGTGATATTTTCAACTTTTTCAAAATGCTGATCAACTGACTTAAAATCCATAAATCATCAGTTTTAAAGACCCCTAGTCTACGCATATAAAACAGATTTGGCTAACTCTAAGATTGCAAATTTAGGTCTCTTAAGCTTACAGTCAGGCTTTGCATTTCCCTTAGAACCCATTAACAATGTCTCTGGAGGTTAGTGCTTAATTTAGGGCTTGTAAAAAATTGTGTAAGGAGCTCATCTTTCTAGATTTACTAGTAAATGGCCCTTTCCTTCCCATGATCTTAACTATCACTCTTCTACATGCCTAGCTAGTGACTAGCTAGGAAAGGATGAAATCACTGCTTCCTCCATAATCAAAGTATCCAGCAAAGGACAGTGACTTAATGAAATAAATACGATGCTCTTGCCACACTGGGGTATTTCCATCTTTATACAAACAAAAACCATAAGCTGTGATATTCCTAACTGATAGTAAAATTAAGCTCGGGCATTTTCAAGGTCAGAAGCATCGTGAGGCATCCATAGTTTAGTGAAGACAGGGCAGAGGAAATGGCAGGGGTTTGTTTTATGCTCTGTTGCACAGCAGAGTCTGAGTTCGAGTCGCACAAAGGGGCCTTTACTCACCATCTCCTCAGGAGGAATAGATGCTGGGTCTCTTACTGCCTGGATACTTCGGAGAAACTAGACAGAAACCAAGAAAAAGAACTCATAACGTATTTGGTAAATTAATCTTAGTTCAACCTAAAAAAGAAATAAGCAGTGGAAGCAGGAGCCATGAAACCTTTAAATCAATGCCACACATCCGATACACAGACTTAAAACCTTCCTGATTCAATGTGAATATGGCCCCAGCACAGCATGAGGCTTAGGAAGAATAAACGCCAGCTGCTCTTCTGGTGTCAGAAGCGCCTGGAACTACCTATTTCCCGCAGACAGAGTAACTGAAAGGTGTTTTGGTGAGATGTGGCTCAAGCCTGTAGTGCCTACTAGTAAGGAAGCTGAAGCAGGAAGGTTACTTCAGCCTGTAAGTTCAAGACCTGCCTGGATGACATAGATAGAGGCTGTTAAAAAAAAAAAAAAAAAAAAAAAAAAAAAGAGCAAGCAAGCTACCATCAGCACATGACAAAAATTTACCACATATCACTAATAATGGGACTCTTAAGTTTTGCTGTCACAAGACATAAAAGCTGAGGCTCCTATGGGCTGTACAGATAAAAACAACACCCACCGAATAGGCATACCTATTCACCTATTCAAAGATTATTTATGAAAAGTTTACATATCCAAAATGCCATTTAAGGCATAAGGACTATGAAATGACGCAATAGATCTCCTGTCTCAAACCAGTGCTTACAGCCTGGAGAGAAGCTAACAGCTCTAACAGCTGAGTGCCATGAAGCCCACAGGAGCGATTAATTCTCTCGAGAGGGAAGGCTTCAGAGATGGACTTAGGTTCGACCTGAAGTGTTTCCATTTTCCAGGAGGCCAATGAGAAGGCAGAAGGTGGTCCAGCAGCAGAACCACAGCGGAGAAGACAGGGAAGCAGCAGGCCTGCTCGTGTAAGCAGCAGCTCAGGAGCAGGGACTGTGGGTGCTAACGGAGCTGAGAAAGGGTGGACAGGTATTGTGAAGAGCTGTGTATGCCATGGCAAGGAATTTATGCTGTGGACTGCACAGAAGAAAGTATGCAACAGAGACAGAAATAATGAGAGAATATTTACAGAACTGGCAGCATCAGAACAGAGTACCATTCATGAAGGTCTAAGTGTAGAAACAGCCCAAGAAGACAGGCAGAACCAACTCATCAAAGAGAGAGCAGTTAAGGGTGCTTCCCTGATCTTCCAGGGGACCTGAGGCCAGTTCCCAGCACTCATTAAGTGACTCACAACTGCTATAATTTCAGGTACAGGGGATCTGACAGCCTCTTCTGGCCTTCCTGGGCTTGTGCACAGATGTAGAACGAACACAAATACACATGCACACGCACGCACACACCCTACCTTGAAAAAAAAGCCAATACGCCGGGCATTGGTGGCACATGCCTTTAATCCCAGCACTCGGGAGGCAGAACCAGGCGGATCTCTGTGAGTTGGAAGCCAGCCTGGACCACAGAGTGAGTTCCAGGGAAGGCGCAAAGCTACACAGAGAAACCCTGTCTCAAGAAAAAAAAAAAAGGCCAATACTTCAACAGAGACATTATGACATTATTTTCGAAAAAGTGAGTCAGAAACAACATGCAAAAGGTGAAAAGAAACCAAACAGTGAGAAGAGCAGTTTGTCAAACAGGAGGGAAATGTACAGGAAGTTCCACAGCAGCAACAACTCGGCCCACAATTCCAGACAATCCAGTGTTCTGACACTGGGCAACTGAGACAATGTGCAGTGAGCACTTCTGGCCTCCTAACAACAGACAGGTGCTATTCCAGGAGACAGAAAGAGTACGTCACTCAACTGCTGGGATAGAAGAGACATATGAAGCTGACCTCAGCATTGAGCATAAGTCTAAGGAAGCGCAAAGTACTTATAGGGAACGGAGAGGCGGGCAACTGGCTTCAATGTTGAATAAACCGTTTACCTCCATCTCAGGCTCCTTACCTACTGAATGAGAAGGGACTACATGAACCTCAGAACTTCTTTGAGGAATAAACACTACAATTTTCTGAACATGAGCATTAACAGAAAGTTCAAGTCTTCAAATCTAGACTCCTAACAGTGAAGGAGAGTGCCCAGGTAATATAATCCCATCTCACGCCACCATTATATCCTCTGTGAGGAAGAGGGCTGCCAGTTCGCTCACCTCTGGTGTGGCCTGAGCAACTTTGCACACTGTTTCCATGCCTCCAAGCTTCCAGTGCCCATCTTCACTCACAAAAACAGATGATAAGCAGACATTGTTGTGTGTCAGATGTCCCTGGGAAAGAGACAAACGGAACAGGAAGAAGACTGACACCCCAAACCTGAAGGTTTTAAACAATTAAATACTAGTCACCACATGCAGGTCAATGGGGTCTTTGGCACCTGCAGCCTAACGAATGGAGCTGGGCTTAAATGAACAAACCAGATGCAGCTGGAGGGAAGGCCCCGGCTAGCTCCCTGGCCGGCAGGAAGGTCAGGAAGACAGGAAAGACAGCGCACAGACAGCGCACAGACAGCAGTACTCCCATTCTTGGGAGTCAGGAGCCTCACGTGTCCTTAAACACACACAAGTCTCCACGGCCTGGATCACTTGCTTCCAATTCCTTAAACAAAGAGCGATGGCCCCTGCAGGTTCTGTCACTTCCCCCCAAAGTCTTTCTTGCTTATCGTCTGTCAGGAACCCAGACTGCTTCACCTGGAAGCTGGGCAGTCAGTACATTAACAAAATTCCTCCAGAAGAGGAGGAAATGGAAAGACAAGGACGACCAGAAAAATTCCCAATCACAGAAGAATCAAGTTTAAAACTATATATATATATATATATATAAAATAGTATAACTTCAATAAAAATGAGGAAGGGAGAAAATGAGAACAGGGCTTGAGTAGTTAAATTTCTTTTCCAAACCAGGAATCATTCATTCCAGGACACAAAAAATACACTAAATATTCCAATCACATGATCCAATGTGTATGCATTTTATACAGAAGACTCATATATAGTAAAGGAAGATTTTTAACAGAATGTATGATATGCTTCCATTGGGGGGAAATAAGAGAATAAACATAGAATATATGCTTGATACACACACAAAATTTCTCTAGAATAAAGCACTGAGCACCACAGCTGCCTCTGGAGGACGATTAGATCCGAAGATGAGACAGAGGTTTAACTTGCCCTCTCATCCTGTTGCTTTCCTATTACTGATAAATTTTCTTCAACAAAAAAGACTCCTCCCCAATGAAGCAGTAAGAATTCTTGCTGCCATGTGAACCTCAACAGCCTTTGAAATTCTAAGAAATTCTAAACTGCACATGGCATTGGAAAGCCTGTCTCCCCCTGACAGCAAGAGCTTTAGACACTAAGATGAGCCTGGTGCTGAGTGTAGCTTGTGTTGCTGCTGTCCCATCTCTGCAGACTGCCAAAGACCTACGCTTCAGAATGTAAACACCACAAACAGCAGCTCAGAGCAGTGACAACAGACAGACATAAGGAGGCGCAGAACCAACATCCCAACCAGACATCACCAAAGGCAAGCTTACTGGCTACAACACCTTCTTTACAGGGCTGTCTCTTTATTGGATTCACCCACCCAAATGGAAACACCATTTCTTCCTAAGAAGCGGTTCTTTCTTTCTCTGAAATCTAAAGTGGAGTAGAACTTCTGGAAACCAACAGGAGCCTTGGTCTACAGCAACACTACTGGCAGACCTTTCTCTTACCCAATGCTGACTGCAGCTCTATTTAGATAAAGACTTACCTAAAACAAGAGGAAGACAGCCAACTGAAAGGAAACTGTATAAACAACTGCTGAGGGACAGAGAACCAGTGGCTGATCCCACAAACTCTCTGTAGGATCTCTTGTTCCTTCCACTTTCTGTCTCAGTTTCTCTCTGACCCGGTCTCTAAGGACCACCACTCAGGGGGTCACTTCAGTCCCCCTCAATCCTGTGAGGGAGACTCTCAAACCACTTACTCTGTCATGAAGGAAGATAAGAGCCAGCAATATGTCATAGATTCCAGCACAGACTTCTGCAGGAGACAGGGTTTCCAACGCCACTTCCAAAGGCTGCACTCTCTCAGTGACGAGATGAATGCCATCTGCTTCCACAGTACAAGATAAAAACCTTAGCAAGCAAGGGTGACGAAGGGTCTTTAAGTGCTTTAAAATACAAATAGAAGAGTTGATGAAGTTAATGACTCGAACTAGATTAATTAGTTTCACACACACTGTAATAAAAGGCATGCTTTTATTGACAGTTCCTTCTACCTCCCCATGTTCCCCCAAAATTCAAGGACAAAAAAAGGATCTATAACCTGTTCTACCTTATCAACTTACCAATATTTAAGTAACTACAGAGACTTCCTATTCCCTTTTAAGTCTCCCGAGCTCTCACGCCTTCCAACTATCATTGCCATGAATTTGGAATGAAAGCCAGAAGCGACCCAAGAACTCTGCAGGCATCAGATTAGGGAGCAGTGAAAGCAACACCGAGGATGAAGCGGTCCCTCTTCTTAGGACGAACTACACATCAACAGCAGGCCTCAGCTGGGAAGCAGTGGAGTAAGGGTACCAAAACTTCACCCCAAATCTTGTAATCTTTCAGGCTAGAATCGGAAAGGAGCCTAGGAAGGGCAGAGTATGAGGACGCTGTCCCAGAGGGTAGCGAGCTGGGGAAGGAAAGGCCTAATTTTCTGTGAAGCCACAAATCCTCAAACTCTAGAATCAGTAAGCAGGCATAGCGAAAGACCTAAGCAGGAGGTCAAAGGTTCAAGGAGGAAAGGAAGTTTGAACTGCTATTCCTGGGAATTTGAGGTCTGAACCTAAGGAAGATTAACTGCCTCCGAAATCGAGCCTGAAGAGAGCTTTGTTAGAGAGCTGGTGGCAGAATTGATGATCTCTGCCACACAACATTAAAATATCCAAAAGGGAATCCAAAATCTATTCAGCCTGAGAATGTGTCCAATTTTAATGGGAAATTACTGGAAATTAAAAACTCAAAGTATGGATTCATTAACTGTATGAATATGATGTGAAGCTATTAACCAATTCAAGGAATAGAACGTTTGTTTGTTTTAATGATCAGCACCAGAGGAACCTGTGAAATGATAACAAAAGGTCCAATGCAGGTAATGAAGTTCCCCAAAAGGGGAAATAGGGGCATAAAGAAAGCATAATTACTAAAAATACAAACTGGGCCCAAATCTCCAAAACACAAATTTAAGAACTTTAGTTAACACAGAATGGGATCAACATTTTAGGTTTAAAGGACATATGGCTTCTGGGGCCAGATTTTAAAAGTCCCTTTAAATACATAAAACATTCTTAGCTTATCCTGGCCTGAACATTTGCTGACCCTGTCACTGGGATATATCTTCTTATTAAACATTTTCTTTTCTTAACTTTTTACCTATTTATCAAATATCAAATCCTTTTAAAATATTTCAACATTTTAAAAACTTTTATTATCTGAAAAGTGATTGCCATGCTTTTTTTCAGTTACATGTTTCAACAACAAAAATGCCTATAGTTATATGTGCACCTACATTTAACACATATCAAGTATAGAAAACAACATCCAGGCATGGTGGCACATGCCTTTAATCAGCACTCGGGAGGCCACCTGGTCTACATAGTGAATCACAGGGCAGCCAGGGTTACACACTAAACACCAAAATATTAAAAGATAAGAATGAGTTTAAGTAGCCAGTCCCACTTTTCCCGCTTAAACAAAATGAATTATGATGGAGAAGCCTCTGGTTTCATGTTTAGAAACCCCCAATATAAAATATCCCCCTTCGCCCTCATTGTCCTTAGCAACAGACAATATACATGAATGGATGACAAGTATAAGTCCATTTTGCTTGAATTTGTTAAAATTACAGTGGTTCTTCCCTTTTTGGTTTTGAAAAACGAACTGAGATTGGAACTAGCACTCAGAGGCAGACGAGAGGAAAGCAACTGGAAACTTGAGTCCAAATAAGGAGGATGACTGCTTGCTAACTGAGTGTTATGACAACCACTACCGCTGGGTCTGTTCTAGCCGTATTAGCTCTGGATTTTCTATTCCTAGTACATGCTTCATATGATGGAAAGTTTAACTTGACTCTGCTGGCTGAGTATGGTGGTACACTATAACCCAGCACTGTGGAGGCAGACAGACAGACAGGGTCAGTGTATGGTGGTACACTATAACCCAGCACTGTGGAGACAGACAGACAGACAGGGTCAGTGTATGGTGGTACACTATAACCCAGCACTGTGGGTTGTTGTTGTTTGTTTGTTTGTTTTTTGAGACAGGGTTTCTCTGTGTAGCTTTGTGCCTTTCCTGGAAATCACTTGGTAGCCCAGGCTGGCCTTGAACTCACAGAGATTCTCCTGGCTCTGCCTCTCGAGTGCTGGGATTAAAGGCGCGTGCCACCACCACCCGGCTAAAGTTAACATGTTATATGCCATATATTTCTTAAGTACCATGACCAGTTCTTCAGACTCCAAGACTCCCTGATAATTCCAACTCCTTAGCCTTTTGTTGTCGTCTCAACTTCTTACTGTGGGGCTGAAGAAACAAGTGAGGACTACCTGCAAGGTCTCAGCCAGGGGATCTGAAGGTTGGGAAAACTCTTTATCTAAGCTTTAAAATTCTTAACAACACAAAAATCTTCATCACCAAGAGAAGATCTTTGATATTTTTTCTTATAAAAAATTTATGAGCTGTGTTATTTTTACTTCGGGGTCCATATGCTACAAAAGGTAGGAATTAAAAACTCTTAATAGTCTCAAGAACAGGAGGAACTAGAAAGATTATAAGCGTAGTGCCTCACTGGTTATAGTCACTCTAAGTTATAAAACACAACACACACACAGTCTAACAGATGAAAGTAAATGAAAACGTTAAATGCATGTAAGAGTAAAGTATGATGTCCCATCTTTTGCAAAATCACAATAGGAATTATTAACAATATCTAGATGGGGCGGAAAAGAGACAAAAATACGATTTTTACCCAGCATGTACCACTCCCAGAGCACAAGTTTGAGTGCGCGCGCACACTCACGCACTCACGCGCACGCGCGCACGCACATACACACATACACACACACACACACACACTAAAAAATGTACTGAGTAGATTGTTTCACATGTCCTTTTCCTTAGGAACCATTTAAGTGTCAATTTTGTGTTTAATCAAAGATATGACATCAAGTAACTAATTAGTGTGAGCAATGAAATATCAATATTACTAACATAATCTTTTATAGCCATTAAAGAAATAAACCATTTAAAGAGCTTGTGAAATGTTCTACACCTATTGACTTTTGAAAAGGAATTCTTAGTGATACAGACTATGATTCAAACAAAACAGCTATCAGTTCAAACTTAAAACTTCCCATTTCCACTACAGAAACACTGAAGAGTTAGTTCATGAACACAACTGTAGTATTCTCTCTAGAAACTCCTTGAAGATGCTCTGAATTAAAAAAATATGCAAAAGTTAGTTATCCATAGAACTACCAGCACACGGTGCTGCTTTTCTTTAAGAAAAGTGGTTATTTTACTGAATACTGTTCCAAGATGGGATCATTCTTTCTTTTTCTGTGGTATTTTTCCTTTTCTCTTTTACTATTTATTTATTTATTTATTTATTTATTTATTTATTTATTTATTTATTTATTTATTTTTGGTGTGTGTGTGTGTGTGTGTGCTGAGGCTAGATCCATATGCTAACCATGTCATGGAAGTACTACATGACTGAGCTATACCACCAGCCTGAGCATCATTTCTTATGTCAGTGTCCCCTGACACTGAGTCAATAGCAAACTGACTGCAATGATGCTCTCAACCAAGGGTGGCAGTGACCAGGGGCCAAAAGGGACTTTCTTACTGGGGCAAAAATGGACGCCTCCAGAAGTCTACGACCCTGTAAGGTCTCTCACCAAGAACCAAAGGCAGGATAAACATTCTTTCTGTGGCATCCGATCTAACACACAAATTAAAAATGTTGGGACAAGGGCTGGAGAGATGGCTAGCGGTTATGAGCACTTGGCTGCTCTTGCAGAGGACTCAGGTGTGATTCCCAGACCTCACCTGACACCTAGCCCTAACCCTAACAGTTCCAAGGGATCTGATGCCCTCTTCTGACCTCCCTGGCTACCCAGTGAATGCACATGGCCCATAGACATACATGCAGACAAATCGTTCATATACAAAAAATAAAAATAAAATATTTTGTAAAATGCTGTGACAGTACAGTGTTTCAGGGCAAGAAAGATAATATAAAATTCCTAAAGTGCTTTATTTTCAAGCACATCAGCACACTAATTAAAATACCAATGATCAGCATTTTTGTTAAACTAGATGAATCCCATCTCTTTGATCGGCCATATGAAATCACCTGCCTACCTTTCTCATTAAAAGCATTGTGATAGAAACCATCACAATGAGTTTGGTGAAGCTCTTTGGCTGTAGGGACGGTATGTTAGAAACAGAACAACTGTTTTTATGAAACACTGAGTAATAAAGTACCACCGCTTGGGACCGTATCTCCCTGGACCTTTATGAAGTTCATCTGAGAGGAGGAAACCGGGACTTAGAAAGCCCTGTGAAGACAACCCATCACAGTACCTTGGCGGCTTTGTTAACCTTGTCTTCGTTCTCTCTCTTATATACGAACACTGAGGCGCATTTTCCATCTTGCAGTATGGCGGGATAAACAGCAAGTCCAGAGGGCAAGGTAAATGGCGATTCTCTCAGTGTATAGCTCTTTAAAGCACTGTTCTCTGATCCCATCCCTCTTGCAGTGAATCAGTACTGAAGTTCCTCCTCAAATCAAACAGATCTAAAACAAGCAGAAAACAAGTTAAAACATCCCACATCTATCTGCAATATAAGCAGGCTGGCTATCCGCTTAGCCCCAAGTGTCCATTCAAACTTACTCATTCCTGCAGTGCTAACAACTGCATCTGATGACACAAACGGTCAATGAAAAGCAAGTTATCAGGAGTGCTTGTTAATTAACAACTAACAACGCCAGAGAAAATGTGTGCTGCCAAATAGTCACACGTACTTCCTTCCCGAACCCAATCACACACAAATTTCTATAAAGGCTTGTAAAACTTTTTATTAAAAATAAGTAGGCTTAGACAGTGGTGGTGGCTCACACCTTTAATCTCAATATTGAGAGGCAGAGTCATGTGGGTATCTGAGTTCAAGGCCAGCCTGGTCTACAAAGTCAGTTCTAGGACAGCCAGGGCTACACAGAGAGAGAGACCCTGTCTCGAACCTCCCACCCCCCAAAAAGTAGTGTTTATATAAATATAAACCTAATAATCATGACACAAATCTCTCAAATTTTCCTTCCATGTGGATGAAGAGCCACAGAATAATTTTGTTATTCTATGTAACGATGCTTAAAATACAAGCTTATTATAGAATTTAAAATGTGTACAGATGCACACAAAATGTACTAGCACAAAAAGCTACAGAAAATTAGCTTTTCAGAATCTCAGAATGTCTGCAGGTAAGAACTAATTTTGCTCTTCAGCTCTTAAGATGCACTGAGCTCTTTCATACATACTTTATCTTTCTTAGGCCCAGGGATTATTGAGGAAGAGAGGGTTTGTAAAAGCCAGAGGAACAGGAAGTTTGCTGTGAGATTGTATCTCCTAGAAAGTCAAAGAGACGATTCCATCCAGTCTCCTTAACATGGCTGCCTAAGTAAGAACCAAACAATGAGGACACCAATGGACATACTAACACGGAAGAGTGAAAGCTCACACAACCTCAATGCTAGCCAAAGATCTACAGGCAACTGGGGAATGCTGAGAACCAGAGACTCGTTCTTCCAAAGGGAAGGGTTCCCAACTGGTTATCCAATACCACCTGGTCAACCTGAGATCATATATATACAGGTAACATTGTACAGACTGAGCAGGTTGTAGTTACGTACTTATTTATTTATTACAATGTGTACACACTGTAACAAATAAAGAGACCATGAATTTGAGAGAACAATGGGGACTGGAATGATTGGGAAGGGTTGGAGGGAGGAAAGGGAAAGAGGAGAATGATATAATTAAGGTATAATTTCAAAATATAAAAATAAAAATAGAACAGAAGTGACACTAAAAACAATACTAAAATATCCAACAGCCTCAATTATAAGAAACACCCACTTTTTTTGGTTTTTCGAGACAGGGTTTCTCTGTAGTTTTGGTGCCTGTCCTGGATCTCACTCTGTAGCCCAGGCTGGCCTCGAACTCACAGAGATCCACCTGGCTCTGCCTTCCGAGTGCTGGGATTAAAGGTGTGCTCCACCACTGCCTGACTAAGAAGCACCCACTTTTTACTGGGACAACAGATGAAAACAGTTCATTCGGGGAAATGGAGAAATGCAGCTCTACTCATCGGGGATGCAGTAGTGCCTGCTCAGAGAGAGAGCCTTCCTCCTGCTTCCTGGCCAGTTAATGGCTTGTTTCAGGTCAAAGAGCAGTCAACTCACAGACTACCTTCAGTATCCGGAACCGGCACGGGGGCAGACCACTGTCTCCTCCATGAATTTGAACTAGGCAAGGCTTTTCTCTATCACTAGTAGCACATCTGAAGCGGGGCACCAGGAGGTGGAGCTGGGACACCAGGAGGTGGAGCTGGTGCTATGGTAAGGCCACTGGGAGCAAAAACTTGGTGGGCACCAGAAGTCTCGGTCAGTGGGATAACAAGCTCAGGCTGGGGAATGGCTTTTTTATGGGAGCATACCAGCATCCCCACCTCAGACCTGTCTCAGGCCTGGAGGATGGGCAGCTAGTTTCCAATGCAGCTTTTTCACTGACTAACCCTCTGAGAGTGTGCAGCTTTCCTGACTGGCTCGAATGGGACCACGTTCTTTGAAACCAACTGACATTTCTCCTCTAAGCCCTGCTTAAAACAGCGGGGAGACCATAGGCATCAGTTAAGGAAGGGTTACTATGAAAAGCATGTGAAGCTGGCCTGCATTCTTGGTTCACTACAAAATAAAACTTTTCAGTATCAACAAACAATAAAGGAAAAACAGAACAAGGAACGACAAACAGATGAGTATCTTCCTGGCAGGAAACTACTGAGTTTCACCGTTAGTCCTGAAGAGATACTGTGCTCACCAAGATTCATGAGCTGTGCTATTGGAGGCAAGGACAATAGACATTTACTCATTTCCAATAGTAAAACAGGTCCTTGTTGGAATACTGGGTCTCAGAATATCTATTAACCTTTAATTCAATATTATAAATACAAACAGATAACTAATAACTTCAGATTTACAAAAATATTAGATACTAAAACTGGTCATTTCTCATAGCAGTATACTGCCTAGGACCCTAAGAAAAATCACTTTTAAAAAGGGATGACTCAATTTCTATTGAAGAGAATGGAATGCCTTGTACTTCTGTTGTTTTGAAAGATTGGCGATGCTGAGATATGTCTGCTGACACCATCGAATGTGAGGCCAATCAAAGAGCAGAGTTTATGCTCAATGCAGCAGGGAAGAGGTACTGATGATTGGGTCTGAGAACACTCTAAGGTGGTCGTTGATTCTTCCCACAACTGTATGTAAGAGGCAGGACGCTATTGACATAAACAGTGTTTTTAAAACCGAGAACCGAACTGAAAGGAACTTACTGAAATGCAAGACGTAAATAACACTCCGAGCTCCAAATACTCTTCCTTGTTTGAGGAGTAAGGAGGGAAATGTGAAACAGTGCCAGGTAGATTTGAAATGGAAAGTCACACGAAGATAGAAAAGGATAGATATTCCAATATAGCACAAACATGTTAAAGAATACACTTCTACTTTCCACAATGAAAAGCTGAGTTGACAGTCTCCTCCGATGTGAATATACACCATAGCTGTCTTAAAAAATAAAATAAAAAATATTTACCTATTTTCCTCCAACCCTTTTTCAGGTGAAGCTTCAGAAGAGAGAAGCTTCAGAAGAGGCCACCTGTAGTTAGGAAGCACCCTTGCCTAGGTCACTGGACAACTTCTGGACTCAACCATAAAACCTGTGTCCTCGAGAGAAATATGTCCCTGTTGGTTCTTCTCCCAACAATTAGTAGAGATTTTCTTGGCTCCAGCTCCCTTAACTTCAAAGTGCCAAAGCTTATGACTTGCCCCAAGAGTCCTAAGGATATACCTTTTGGGCTGACACTTAGCTACTGGGTGATAAACGTTACCAGCAGCCCAGGGGTTTGATGTGTTTCAGCCATGTGTATTCCCGGTCAAGAACTCAACGCCACAGTGCTAACTGACAAGCAAAACATCATGTCGTCTCCATGGATTAAAAGTACTCCGTCTGACCTCAGCTCAGGATACACACCAATCCCTCAAACCAGCGGTCACTGTGATCCCAAAAGTCAGCAAAAAACGACTTTGGGAGATCATGTGTTATCTTTATTCCACGCATGAAGCCGCTGGGGGCCTGGCGCTGTCTGGGACCCTGCACCGCGCGACCTTCCTGCTAGACTCCAGGCCTCGGCCGTGACGGCGGGGGTCCCCCGAGAAGCCCGAGAGAGAGGGTGGGGGGGGACACCCCGATCAAACCGGAGCAGCGCTCCACGGGCCGCCCCAGCTCTCCCCGCCAGCGGCGACCCCGCTCCCGCCCTGCCCCGCCGCCCCGGCCGCTAGGCTCCCGGTTACCTGCGGGCGGCGGGAGCAGGCTGGCGGCTGGCTCCGACACGCAGGCCTAGGCCCCTCCACCCACAGTCTCCCGAGGACCGGGCTCAGACCGCACGAGAAGGGCCCGGAAACGGGTCAACAGACCGGTCTTCAGTTCCTCCGACGCCACCACCGAGGTGCGCGAACCCGGAACCGAGCTAGAGCGGCCGCCCAGGTGATGCTGCGGTCCGGGGCATCTTTAGGTGTGGGCGCCAGGGAAGCCCGTGCCTCACGCCTGCTCCCAGCAGCCTACTCTGGCTGCAAAGAAACCTGTCTGCGTGTGTTTTTAGCTCGACCGCACCGGTGTCCTAGTTTTAATGTTTGGGTTTTTAGCCGGTCGGTTGTGAGTTCATTTCCGCCCGAATCCAAAATGGCCACCTCTGGCTTCAGACAAGTACGATAATAAAGGGGCGGGCAAAAGGAGAGGAGTTTGGGACCGAGCCAGAACTTTTCCGGTAGTGACTCTCCGCATCCTGTCCACCTTGATTGGCCGCGCTACCTGGGGAGATTTTTATTTTTATTTTTTTATTTATTTATGTTCCTTTTAATTGGAACTACTGAAGTTGTCAAAATCATGGTGACTCGAGCTTAAGACTTAAGGTTTCAGATGGAAAGCCTGGAATCAATCCAGCGGAAAAGCAAAATTAGAAGGAATATTACTCCTCCAGACGGAAGAAGAGGGAAGGGAGGGGAGGAAAGAAGAGGGGAAGGGATAGGAGGAGGGGAGAGGAGAGGAGGAAGAGGAGGAAAAGGCAACAATACACACTGTAGTGTTACTACCTCCGACATCCACTGATGTTCACGATCTCCTTGCTTGTTCAACCTTCAGTATAATAGCCTCAGACCAAATGACCACCCCAAACTGCATGTCGTACGTTCTGGCCAATGAGACATAGCAGAACTGTGTAGATGCTAAAGGCGGAAGGTCAGTGCATAGAAAGCCTCTGCCTCCCTGGTAAAGAATGTGGACAGGAATGAAGTAATAGCAGGTACCAAGGGCTGTAAAGCAAGTCACAAGTCAGCATGCTGAGACTGCTGAGTTGAAAGACAGAACAGGATTCTCTTGATCAATTTGTTTTGTTCCTTTTTCCTGAAGGAGTAGAATTGAGTCACTTCACCCAGCACGTGAAATCTGCCATCAACACAGTCACTTTCCTGACTCACCCTCTATGCAGCAGCCTTAGCCCCGAGTCCCTGCTGGCATTCTCATTCATTCTTTGATCATTAATTCAAGTCCAGTTGTGGATGGCATCTTGGATAGCCTGTATCCTGTTTTCCCAAACACGACAGGCACCTACTCCTCCAAAATTAACAATAAAAGAAAATTTCCTGCTGAATGAATACGCGGACTGGAAGAGACACATTCAATACTTTCCATCCCCACTAGTTATCTACTCACTTAACTATTCCTGATGTCACTCAGGTCTCTAAATAAATTACCTCTTAAATCTTTGGAATAAGATTCCAGATGTTTTGAGGCCACAGGTTAACTTATACATTTCCCCCTAATAGGAACGCTGATCATTCTGTTCGGTGGACATTTGACTCTGTAGGGAAAGAGAACAGTATTGTACGGGTACACACAGATTCAGCTATCCGAACTGGACTTGGGTGACAAAGTTTTGTTAGTGTGTGGATGACAGAGGACAGCTTCAGGTGATATTCCTCAGTAGGACCTTGGACATGTTCTGGAGACAGGCTCTTTCACTGGCTTGCAACTCACTGATTAAGCTAAGCTCTCTGTCTAGGGAACCCAGGGATCCACCTGTCTTTGCCTCCCTAGTGCTGGGATTACAGGCTCCTACCAACATTCTGCAGTTTTAAACATAGGTTCTAGGGATCAGACTCAGGTTCCAAGGACTTTACTGATTGTACTATCTTCCTAGTGCCCCTGCTTCCTACAAAATTATAGAGTATCTGCATATGAATGTAGGTTGAAATTTTAAAACTGCCTGTAGATTTTGGGCTCATAGGGTTCTTATACTCTAAAGGAAGGCTGATGGCTGGCAACCTTTCAGCCTATCTGACCTATCTTGAAGTTACTCATTATGGCAATGAAAATTCACTTTTTAACATTCTTTTTATCTTTTTTTTTTTTTTTTTT